CCCTTATAAGTCAATGGGTAATATGAAAATTGCTATATTTGCGCCGAGAATGATCTGAAACTATCTCAAGCATATAGAATCATGATTTCATGCACTGCTTGCGAGGTTCTATGCTTCATATTTGCATTGTTGCCCTTGCGTGACGTCATTTGTGACGTCACAAGTGTCACAATTTTTCTTCAATAACTCCCGATCAAATTGAGCTAGCGAGTCGGGAAAGCCACCAATGGACTCAGGAAGACCTGCCGAATCGAATGATATGCGACATGACCTCTTTCGACCAGCTTCGTGACCTGGGGGTGCTGACCTGACCTCGACCTGAGGTCAACACCTTAAGTTGACCTGACCCGAACAAAAAGTATATCACTCGATGCGCCTGAGCTAGCTGAACACGATAGTGCCAAAATCGCGGCTCTACGGCCATTTTTGGCGAAGTTATTAACCAAAAACCGAACCCGTGCCTTAGATCACTTGACCTGACCTCAGAGGTCACCGGTTGACCTGAGACCTGTAAAGCGGGTTCCTACCAGTCATTCTGCATTATACTTTGCCGCATACGACCACTTAACCGCTTAATTCTAGTTTAATTAGCGGCGCATTAGCGAGGTGGGTTCAATCAACCCCCTCGGCCGGGGGAAATGTAGGTCCGGCGAGTGAAGTTGAGGAATTCTGAAGATACGATCGTGTTCCCCATTCAATTCTGCGTAAGATGCCGGGTTCCGTATCTACGTAACTTGAATGTAACGGATGCGGCGGCCGCAAACGTAAATCGAGGTCCCGAATTCCCTATTCCTCAACACAAGCGGCAGCCGGTTCCTGGTCTGCGCAATATGGCCGCCACCGTTAGACACTACGGCCAATAGGGTTGAAGCGGCAGTGCTCCCCTGTGATGAACACAAATGAATAATGTTCATAAGCGCCGACCAACCTGTACAGATCATGACTGGGGCGTGCTCGTGCGCAACCGTGCATAGTAGCCGCACGCTGTCTGTACCGTGCAGGCGCGGACTTAAATACCACTGAGACCCTCCGACGGGCGTACGTCACAGATCGTCACCGCAAGAAGTGGGTGGAGGGGGAGGATCCATTGCTTGGGGGGGACAGCTTGGGTAATTGGGATTACGCAATATCGTGTCTGTTAGGTCCAACAACTATCGGCTGGGCCCCTGATGCATGCTGAATTTGCTATTCATATCATGCTGGAAAGAAATCTAAGGATTCAAATTGACAGAGTACTACCACATTAGGCACCTATCGTTACAACAAAGTAAGCAAAAGCCAATATTTTCCCTTGCCAATCATCCACCTCCAGACTGCAGTTAATGATACGCAATAAAACCGAACCTTTCTCCTCTTTTTGCAAGTAGTTCAATGTATTGGTGACTTACACATAAAGAAGCCAGAACTGGGTTACTTTTTTCTCGTTCACCCTTTTCGTACAAATCGCGCACTGCCGCCGTCTAGCCAAACCAGTTCCTCATGGGTTCTTTGTCCTAGCTATAGCCATAAAGATAAATTCCCGCTCGTTGGCGGACGGTTTAGTGGATGTTGGCGGTCGATTTGGCTCGTTTTACGGCCACCGGTGACGACAGCCTCGCGGTCCGAGGACGCTGCGGCTGGCGCGCGGCCGCCGGGGCCAGAGGTCGCCGGTTGGCGGTCGTTAGAGCCGTGGCAGTGTTCGCGGTACTCGGCCAGCCGGCGAGACAGACAGGGATGTCCAGCGCAGCAGCCGGCGGCCTTGGGCTCCGCGAGTCTGTGCGGGAGCCTCTCCGGCCCGCGGAGGATGGCCCCGCCGTCCGACTCCGGCCCTCCGCGCGCTGTCGGCCGCCGTGGCGTGATGGGGACCAGACTTTACCGGCAGTCGGAGTCGGTTCCGTTAGCGCCGAGCTCCGCAGCCGGGCATGGGCTCAGATATACCGAAATGTGCAGCTTAGAACATGCTACGATATTTACAGTCTATACAGTCTAGCAGGACAACTAAAGTTGGAATCGTACTTCAAACCGCACCTCATATAATGCAGGATATAAACAATGAAACCATTATAACCAAACCTGCTGCTAAAATATTGACAAAAATGGTTTTAAAAAGTCTGGCTCTCATATCACTAATTCAAAATTCATACATCAGCAAAAAATCGGTAATACCTCTCATGTACACGAACCGTAAAATATCAAATGCATAGCAGCTTACGTAGGAAAATTGACATCGCTTTGGCCAGACAGCTTTGTATTTCATAAAACACTGGTGTCTGCTTCAAATCCAACTCGTCAATTTCTAGTCAGCATAAAAGCACGACACTTCGAGCCTTCTCTTTGCCGAAGGAAGTAGCAAAACCAATGAATCCAGCGCACCGCACCTATCACCGGACGATACTGCGGTGTCCATACATCTGCCGCCTGCCTGCCTTTGAGCGATGGACGTTTTGATGGTTTGTACCCTCACCAACGCTGCTGAAGAGTGAAAGCGTCTCCTGCATGGATGGACAGCTTGGCTAGCCGACGGTTGATCAGTACGAATTATTCATTGTGGTAGTCAAAAAGTACGATTCAGGCGTCAGATCTCTGTCGCACGTAAATGTTTGAACAGAATGTTGTGGAATATATGCATCGGGCGTGATCCCTGGCACAGTCCCAACTGCTATGACACGGTTATTCCCAAGGGCATTTGGATTATAGCTGTGGAGTATTTCCTTGAGATGACTCAATGAGCTATTCAAAGTCAGCAGATCCGCCCCATCTCCGGCTTGACAGAATTTATCCGGACAAAACCAGTTACTCACAGATACACGCCATTCTGCACCTTCGCGTGATCTTCGCGGCAAACATACCTGCAAAGGAGAAAACAGTTAGATCGACACAACCAAAGTGTTTTTTTTTTTTGTCAGTGCAGGTCACGTGAGATAATTTAAGGTGTTTTTATTAGATCACTTGAAAGTTATAATTTGATTCTGGTCTTAAATGTAATCTATGCAATTAATGGCTTCGATGGTTACTAAGATCAATAAGTTTCCTAAAATATAATTAATATTTCCCAACCATGCATCTACGGTTACTCAGTGCCTTATTATAATAGGTATTAAAGATGTACCAGAAGTAATGCTCAAGGAATGTTTATGCCTTCTACTTTTCCAGAAAACCTTCTTATTGCTTTACAACATGTTTTTCTATCTCAGTGACCGAAGTTAACAAGACATGCGATGTTATTTACATGACCGGCAAAAATCTCAATCGTATATGGCTTATGGCCAGTGCACCGTGTTACCCCGCTGCGCGCGAACCGTCAGGACACTTCAAGGTGAACACAAAGCCGCGGCCAAGGCCATGTCGCCGCGAATCATGATGCTGCGTTAGCTCTGCCCGGCACATCCAGGAATTGGCTGTGCGCCGCTCCCACTGCAGAGAGCCCACAGCCACACACGGGCACTCCTCCTCTCCACAAAGACACACCGGCGAGCGCAAACGGACACACACAGACACACACAGACACACACACACGGGGCGGTATGCGCATACATCTGATGACATCACCAGGAAGTCGACTTTGTCGCCACTTGTCTCCCTCCTCCACGGGAATGCATCAGAAGAATAATGAATAGCGAAATGGACCGAGACGGCGCTTCCTTCCGTGAGCTGACAAAAGAAGAACACTTCACTCGAATCAACTGTCGGCTGATTTGTAAAATAGCAGATATCGGCTACCTGCTCTGAATGTTTGTTGGCAAGCGACAATGTAACTTACAAAAGCTACATAAACAGTAAACACCTCACTTTCTTTGTCCCCACAGTTTAGTCCCGTGATGTCCGCTGCTGTCTTAGGTTTAATCGCAATGCCGTGTTCGCTAAAATCGAAAGTCCGCGCACTCCACGTGCACGGTCATAAAATGCAAACACGCCTTAGCATTTACTGTGACGACGACATTCGCGGTGCGAGCCGGTGGATCAGCCATGACTGTGTGGGGCTCTGCTCGGCGAAACTTTGAGTAATCCTCATTAATTCAGCACGGCACTGGTGTCGCCGTGCTGAGCCGGACCGGGGCAGAGACTGCAGACTCCCCCCCCCCCCCGTGCCTCTGAGTCTGCACCGGCGTCTGACGCGCATGGAGGGGGAGGGGGCGAGGAACTGCCGTAATAGGCGGGAAATCCGCCTCCGCCGCCGGACAGGGCGGGTCGCCGCTCATGACTACCGGTGAGCCCACGCGGGAGTGTCACCGCTCAGAGGACATACTGGTCGGTCAGCTGTGGTCACAGGCAGATGGATGGGTCTGAGAGCGACAGTGAAAGAGGCCATGCATGACCATTGACCATATTCAAATAAATGCGAAATAGGTGAGCTTGAAAATAGACTTTTCCATTCACAGTTCTTGGGATTCATTCTTTTAAAATAAATCTTGTTATCAGGTGGCATGTAAATAACGATCAAAGTAACGGTTTGAACTTTTCATAAAGTTACACTTATGACCATAATCTGCATTCTGCAAAGCCTTTTTTAAGCTTTTTAATGTCGGACACCGTTCTTACATCAATAAGGAAGAAAAAAATTGCCGTAGTCATTCGTCATTAGCCTATCCTAAGCAAATTCACTTTCTTTCGATTGAGCGTTTCCATTGTCAGCTCAACGAAGTCGTCCAATGTCTTTAGTCGGCAAGTCCTGCAATAGTTTCATCTGCACAATTTCCACATATTTCCTTCCACTGCAGAAAGTCCCACCTGTGGTCTCCCGGACCATTCATATCCCTCATCAATCGCCCGCCACCAGGGCCAGGTGTGCTGCGACCAGACACCTGTGATCAGTCGCCTATGACCAACTGCCTGTGGCCAGCCGCCGGCGCCCTCCCTGCGTCTGATTCCGCCGCTCGTGGTGAGCAGTGGTGCCGGCGGCTCCGGTCGGATATTGCAGGTGTATCGGCTGCCGCCGGAGATGTCACGGCCATCCTCCGCCCGGGATCAGCCCGGCAGCCGGTCCTTTCACCGCCGATACCGACACGGCTGTTCAGCGGCACCCCGCGGCCCACCGAATCCAAACAGAACTGTGCGCGCCGACACCGCACGTGCCGCCGCACCAGGCCACGCACAATGGCGCGCCCGTGAGACCGGCGCGGTGGCCACGCGCGGCCACCTTTTTCAGAGGAACCGCGCGGGTTTGCGGTTGAGAAACGGCCCCCAGCGCCGGCCCCCGGCCCCGGCGGCCCCGGCAGGATGAGCTAGGGAGGGGAGGGTGCAGCGCCGGCACAGACAGCCCGCGGCGCCAGAAAAACCTCCCGGCTCGCGCTCCGGCGGCCGGTGAAGGGGCTGCAACGGTGCGCGGCCGGCGGAGCGGCCGGCCTGCCGCGCGGTGGGCGCCGGCCGGCCGCCGTCAGTCCATCGCTGGAGGTCGGCGGCAGCAGCAGCGCCCGTCTCGCTCTCTCTCTCTGTCTCCGCTCGGCAGCGCGCTCTCGACACCATGAGGACCGGCGTAGTGATGGCGCTGCTGGGCTGCTGGGCCGCCGCCGCGGCCACGCCAGAGCTGCGCGCGCTCGGTGAGTACAGAGGGGGCAGACACCGCGGGACTTCGCTGTCTATGGGTCTCACCAGACTGTTGTGTGTTGGCCATCTTAATTAAGAAGCAGCGGGAGACCGATGCACGTATCTATTCGGGGGGTCATTGCTGTCGATTGATTGGGTACTCCTAAAGAGGCAGCTGCTGTTAACTGATGCCCTGTACAAAGGACAGAGAGGCCTGCAAACTTCAGGAGACCCCAGAGAGGCCCAGGACGAAACGAAATGTTATTTTGAAATTGTGTTCATGTAGGCGTATTCATAATATGAGCACAGCCTACCAGACGGAGGGTGTCATAGGGCAGCCAATGCATTGTAGCATTTACAAATGGATCATTTGGTGTTTACAAATGATATTAAATCCGCTATTTCGTGATGCTCGTAACAGCTTTCTTCGGTTTATCAATTGAATACCCATCCTAAGTCACCTGTGAACCTTCTGACTTGGAAAGTGCCGATTGCCTGCCATCCCATTAATCAAACACATTAGCTAATCTGTAGTAACTGGATGAGTAGGTGAGCAGCTACTACGCCCTAGCGTTTAACCTATCTTCATGTAAACATAATATCTTTCATAAATATAATAGCATAATATCAAGTTAATTTTTGTGTGACCTCAAATATTCACAGCTGTCATCGATGCTTTCATCTACAGTCTCTGACAGCTACAGTCTCTGATCGATGCTAAAGACGGTTAAGCATACCTTTCCTAAATCTTTTTAAGAAATTGCATGCTGTAACTGAGCATGATAATTAGCTTTCTACTGCTCGGATGAATGCTGTACAATGTAAAACGTTTTCAACAATGACCGGTATGCACAGTTGCGCTATTACGTCTCGGGTTTGTACCATTCAAATCATGTCCTCCTTGAGAGTAGAACCGACCAGTTCTGTCAGCTTTCCATTCATGCCACGCATTGCGATATAGCCTGTACGTATTATGCAGAAATGTACCCGGTTGAATGGGCAACCAATCGTTGGAAGACACACAAATGGTCAAAGCTCAGAAAGGCCATTATATAACGTCATAAATCATTTCAAGCGCAGTTTCATGACAGCCTTCCTATTTTACATGCTGTCGACTATCTGGGATGGCTGGAATTCGGAATAAATAGTTTGGCTACTGCTTTTAGGAAATATTCTATTTGAATTTGAAAGTCCGGTCTTGCGTTTGTTTTTGTTTATAAAAAGTTGAAAATAACATTCCTAACACATAAAACTCACATCCTTCTTATACTCTTTTTTCCAACACATGGACATGCACATTCTTTTATCTCGATATCCTAGCCATCCTTTGCCAAAAAAGTTGTACACGATTCACTGCACTCCATTGAAAACTCAGACAGCTGACCACACTAGTAGACAGTCATTGTATCTCTCCTGACACGCCACACCTATCTCGAGCCGGTGGAGACACGGCACAACTCCTCTGAACAGGTTTGGGGGCGTGACTCGCCCATCTCCGCCAATTCCGCTGACCGGGAGTGGCCAATCCGCTGACTGGGAGTGGCTCCTAGGCGCTGCCTTGACAGGCGCCCACCGAACAGGGCGGCTCCTTGATGTCGTACGTCACTCCGACCAAGCGCCTCTCCGCCACCCTTCGATGCAGCGCAAATATGGCAGTGTCCGGCAGCACGACTTTGTGCATTGTCTCCTCTGGGAGCTGCTCGCTCAGCGGTGCTACTCAGCGACCGTGTTGTGTTGTTCTGTCGCTCTGCTGGTCGTCCTGCTCACGATGCTGTGACGGGTGGCGGTGCTATTCCAGTTCGGTGGCTGAAAGTGCGCCAATCCGGTGATCCGGTGCCGTCTTACCACATCGCGCGCCGCACAGTGGTGTAACCGCAGTCACAGCTGGAAATAATTGGCCTCAGCCGGAGGCCGGAGCGACCTGGAGCGACCCGAACTGACGAGCAGATTAGCGGTGACGCGTTAGGGAGAGGAGGCGACCCGAAACGACCAGAGGATGAGACGAGAAAGAGGGGCTCTTGTGCAGCTTCATGAGTGAAACTCTCCGGTGCAGAGTGAGCTGAGACACATCAGGTCACGGAAGGAATGAGACGGGAAGGGACGCGTGAGCTAGCAATGGCTGGTGTCTCCCCGTGATGACAGTGAGCCGAGCGCCTGACCCCCAGGTATACATCTTATTTGGCTGACGTTTGGCTGAGTCGGGGCTGGGCCACGGCCTGCTGGGCGACTGCTGGGCGAGGCGTGGCCGCCTTGCGACATCCACGTGTCTGAAGAAGACGTATGTATGGACGTCATGCGTGGCCCGGTGCGGCGGGGATTGATGAAGGGAGACAGAGGCGTGGGAGAAGAATTGGGGAATCCTGCTAGCTTCTGGTCCATGGTCCATTGAAAAGTAAAGAGACAATGTAAATGTAAATGACAATGAACATGTAGATATTCAAACCCTTGGACACATGGAAAAACATAATACAAAATGCAGGTAAAGTGGCATAAAAGCAGCATCCGTCTTCAAAGCATTTCTAGTAAAATCCATTCATTATACATGAAGGTTCTCTTCTAAGCTCTTGCCACAGAAGCGAGTAACGATGTAAGCTGATGTTTCCCATAAACCTACATATTCATGAAGGGAGGATTGCAATCTCCCGGAGAATAGCATAGCAATGGGCGAAGCGTGAGCAGAGGGAGAAACCCGTTCCCCTTCTGATCACGGAGCACCGACTCTGGCCGGGCGTGTCAGCTCCCAGCAAAGGCAGTGGCTATAGTCGCTGCCGGGTTTGGCACAGACCTCAGTGGCCCGGAAAGTCCGGCAGCCACACCACCTCGTGCCGGCGGACCCGGCGGCGAACAGGGAAAGGGTTCCGCCGACCCATCCCTGCAACCCTCGTCCAGCACAGTGCCCTCAGCGTAATTTCGTCACAGATACGGCTCTACGAGAGTTGAGGCCGGCAATGGCGGTCATCTGTAGACGAAAGTAGGATAAGCATCGTGCTAACACGCAATTAGCCGTACGAACGTCCGCAGACATTCACTGGTGCCCGCAGGCGTGCGGTGCCTTCCTAACAACGCCGGCCTTGAACCCATGAGGGCAGCGACTCGAGTCTGTTCCTCCCTATCACTTCCCAAATCACTGCCCACGCACCTCTGCCCGCCTCTGTGTCTCGCCCTCTCGGAGCGACCTCGCCCTCGGTGGCTCCTCCCGCCACCGCCCGTGTCAGGTTCCTCAAACACTGGCCCTCCACCCGGCCGTTCCCTCACGTCCGACCCATCCGGTCACAGCTCCAACGTCCGCCAGGCACGTGCGTGGCCGTTCCTTGACGCCTCGCTCCAGCTGCAGCCGTCATTTCCATACTCGGCTGTCAAAATTCTGACGCCGCTGCCGCACCGCGTTACGCAAAGTCCCGCGTAACAAGAAAAGGTGACGCTTGAACGGCCTCCGGTCCGGCGCAGGAGAGGCCGCGTCCCTCGGCGAGCGCACTTTCGTTTTCAGTGTGCGGCTCGGCGCGGTGGTCCGGCGCGGCTGACAGGTCCCGGAGTGACCGAGAGGACCGGAGAGCTGGCGGTGGCAGGCGGGTGGTGGGCGGTGGCAGGCGGGCGGTGGGCGGTGGCAGGCGGGCGGCGGGCGGCGGGCGGTGGGCGGTGGGAGGCGGGCGGCGGGAGGCGGGCGGCGGGCGGTGGGCGGTGGGAGGTGGAGGACCGGCTGTGGACAGTTAGCGGGGGGGGGGGCAGAGGAGCGAGGTAGGCCATTCAGCTGGAACGGAGAAGGGAGGCCTGTCCGGCGATAGCTTCCCCAGGTAATGAGCCGTTTCCTGTGCGCTCCTCGGTAGCCAGTCTGGAAGTGTCGACAGTTCCACTCCTGGATAGTCCTAACAGGTGTCACGATCAACATTCCATATTCAGCAGGTGTTTGAACGGCCTTGGTGTTTTCCGTCCGAGTGCTATTGCCGCATCACAAAGACAACAGTCCATCAAAGCGTTTACCTGATTCTCTCGCAGCCCGGTCACGTATAGGGATGTTTGTCGGGAAGCGGACTGGCCCGAGGGTGAATACAAACACAGGTGGTGACAGGCGAGAAGTGGAGTCCGCTTAACATTGACAAATCGAAAAGTTCCAGGGAGAGGAGCTCCATGGTTTTTGCGGCCTCGAATAAATCATATTCGAATGAAAGACGATGAAACTTGGAGTTTGGACAGACATTCACTGAATCGACCACAACCACATAGCTAGGCAGCTTCAGCCAGCTGATGAGCAATAATTTCCTTCGAGTTTCCACATTCAACGCAATTCAGGGTTCCAGTGGGCTGACCACTAAACGTTACGAGACTGAAGATGACCGTTCAGCCTTGATGAGCATCAGTCTCGCCTGAATAGGTTGCCGTTAAACTGGAGCTCAGCCGCGTCTTACACAATCGAGCCACTTTCACGCTTTTCTAGTTCTAGCATTCACATTGAATAAGTAAACTGAACTATTCTATTGTTTGAGCCTACGTTGCGTTTGCATGATTCGTGGAATGTTGATCAGACAAGTGAAGCGTTTATCATAATGGGACTCACTCTGCTATGGAATTGCTAAACATGCACCTTGCACATTTGCACACAAAAAAAATGTCGTCTGATAACGCGTCGTATGTTCTTCATTTCAGAGACTCTGGCTAGCGCTAGTCTCCAGGCCACTCACAGCCGAGTGAGGAGGAACCTCAACGAGTTGGGCGCCGCCGGTCACCACGGCCATCACGGAGCTCACGGAGACCATGGGGACCATGGGGACCATGGAGCTCACGGAGACCACGGAGCTCACGGAGACCACGGAGACCACGGAGACCACGGAGACCACGGAGCTCACGGAGACCACGGCCATCACGGGGACCACGGAGACCACGGAGACCACGGAGACCACGGAGACCATGGTGCTCACGGAGACCACGGGGACCACGGGGACCACGGAGCCAGCGAGAACAGCGAGGTGTCGGTGTGGATGCTTATCTCCGAGACGGACAACTACGGCTGCGTGGCCAAGTTCACCTGCCTGCTGGAGGCCAAGAACCAGAACAAGACCATGACGGCACAGGAGGCCGTCGTGCACGAGTACATCACGTAAGTGCGTTCGCAGCTTCCAGGGACATACGCAGAATATCGAGGAGAATGTTTTAGTGGCTACGATCAGGTTGTTTTGATACTCTATGACATAAAGACGAATTGATTTTAATTGATTAGCTGGATGATGGCAAAAAGAATCGTTTGACTTCATGCTCCATACGCCCTCGGTGGTAGTCAAATGAGATTATGCCCATCTTCAGTCGTAATTTTAGACGGTCTAACTACTTTCAATGTCTGATAATCTCAAATCTGAATATCGCACAGAAAGAAATATGTGTTGCTATAATGGTGTATGCTTCAGCGAGTGCACATGACACAAAGGTCACATACTCACAAATGCCGATTTCTCTGAGTACCGGGAATTCTTAGTCTGAGACCTACCGTGTCGTTCCTCGCTAAGTAGTGCTGCGCAGATGTTCTTGAGAAAGAATCTGACTCATCGATTCTGCATTCCTTCCCGTGGGATTAGCCTTCATAGCCCATATTCTTTCAATTAATCGCCTTTGACACTCAGTCCATAAGAAGGATCAAGTAGTCAGCCAGCAAGTCCGACATGACATCGGTCAGGATATGAGACAGTCTCGTTGCAAAAGCGGTTTATTCATACCGAGAAATGCACGGTCAGAATGTCCGCCTGACTTTGTGGAGCTTCTGGGATTATATTGCTTAGGGGTAAGAAGATGAGAGCCAGGGTCGAGATTAGGGTCAGAAAAGACAGTGGTCGAGAGAAAATATCCGACAGAAATGGATGTGTTCCGACCATCGAGATACCGAGAAGAAACGGGCAGGACGACGACTCTCCACACTAGATCAGGATCGATATACAATAGAGCAGGTTCTGCTGTGGAGAAGAGAGAGAGATTGAGAGAGAGAGAGAGAGAGAGAGAGAGAGAGAGAGAGAGAGAGAGAGAGAGAGAGAGAGAGAGAGAGAGAGAGAGAGAGAGAGAGAGAGAGAGAGAGAGAGAGAGAGAGAGAGAGAGTCGGCACCGTCCGCGGATGTCGGCCGTCGGCGACCTTGGGTGACTCAGAGGTGCGAGACGGCCCCAGTCCATATCTGGAGACGAGGAGGGGGAGCCGGTGCGGCACGCGGTACCTGGCAGCGCCAGGCACAGACTGTCCACAGACTGGCTGCACTGACCCCGCAGATCACCTGGTCGCCAGTTGACGCAGCGCAGAGGTAGTGCGCGTCACTGCCTATTGCGTGCACCCCGGGTCACCCGGCGCGGCGCGGCGGGCGGGGTGTCCATCTGTGGCTGGTCACCGAATACCGATCCCCCGCAGATCCCACTACACCGGACATTCGCGTCACCTGACCATGACACACATGTTAGTCAGTCGGCGGCATACGTCACCGACCGGCGTGGCGGTGTGTCAGGTGGCCCGCTGGGGATTTCAGCACCCGCCGCTGCCTCAGCGTGGAGTGGGACGAATGGACGATTACCCGGCTGGGCAATTGGGCATGGTGTCAGCGGAACGACTAAACCATTCAACTGGGCAATTCTCGAAATAAAACCAACAACACTGATGTACACAAATATTGAGCAAGAAAATTGCAGAATAATTGCGAACAAAACACAGTCAAACGGATCGAACGCTACTTGAAGTGGAAACAGCGGAAGGTGCCTTTGCATGTTTCACTCTGTTCTTACGAGTCGGGCTGGCTGGAAGACGCGTCACAGACGAGACAAGAAACGTCTCCGTGCCGTGTTGCGCTGCGCGTTGTCAGATGGACGTGGGAAGGTGTCACTGCGTGTCACCCTGTGTCCGGTCGGCGTCAGATCTCTCTGACAGCAGACACGATCAATCGGCCCACAAAACAGTCGGCCGCGGCGCCGGTGTAGGCGGACCCGACTGTGTTTTATCCCCACACAGTTGGGCAACGCTCGCGGCGCCCGCTCTTGCACTCACCACTTGACAGCGAAAGTGGGAGTCGCAAGTGACCTTTGCTGGATTCAAGTGACGCTGCAAAACTTACAGTCGCACGAAGCCGCAATACAGGTTTGATGTTGAACCTCTTAGTTACATCAGAAATCCTGTTCTCAAGAAGCCACTCGCTATTTCTGCTCGCTTCCTGTTTGCATAGTTTGCAACAAAGCGGCGTTAAACAAGCCCTCCTGATCCACTCTGAGCGGCGGCTGGTGGTGATGATCCCCTCTGAGCGGCGGCGGCTAGTGTTGGGCCGTACCAGACACCGCGGCCGGGGCCGGCGGCTCCGATTGTCAGGGTCCGCCGGAGCGGGCGGACGCAACAACCGGCCCCATCGAGATCACTCGCCGCCGCCGCCGCCGTCTGTCTGTTGCAACCTGGATGTGACGGGTGAAGGCGGAGCCGCCGGCGGTCTTCATGAACACATCCCCGTATTGATACGTTACGGGTCGAGCTCTGATAGGTGATGATAGGAGGATTAACTGCATTTGAGATAAATATGGTGATTGTGAACTGTGAATGAATGAAGCCCCGGCTTAGAATTAGATAATCAAGTGGTGTACCTAGTTCTTAGAACTACGAATAATGTTCACAATCCTTCAGGTTCAAGATATTACCATTGCTATTTTCAAGTATCGTTTTTTTGTGAGCGGTAAGCATTCATTCAAAACTTAACCCTCGCCGGCCGAGGAAGGGGGGCGCGGGTGCCGCCCCCCCCCCCATAGGGTTTTTCGCGATAGCTCCGAACACGCTGGCGATAGAGAGCTGAAACTTGGCATACCTGATCTTTGATCCAAGCCGCATCTTTTGACACCAACCGCATTTTTGGGTCAGGTCAGGTCACTGACCTATGACGTCATAAGTGAACCTCTGCACGGTCTTCAGATGTCGCAACTTCGCAACGCCCTTACTGCCAGAGGAGATGTCACAGGGAAATGAAACTTGCAGGATCTAGTATCCATTATGAGTCCCACAACTTGTATATCTCGGATTTTTCCTAAAGGTCATATGAGGTCAGGTCATTTTCGTGACCTCACCATTATAAGTCAATGGGGAAAAATGAAAACTGCTATTCTGGCGCCGGGAACGATCTCCAACTATCTCAAGCACACAGAATCGTGATTTGATGCACTCCTTGCAAGGTTAGATGCGTCACTTTTGCAATGTTGACCTTGCGTGACGTCATTTATGACGTCATCAAGGTCATATTAGTTTTTCGCCAATAACTCTTGATCAAATTGAGCTAGCGAGTCGGGAAAGCCACCAATGGACTCAGGAAGGCCTGCCGAATCGAATGATATGCGACATGACCTCTTTCGACCAACTTCGTGACCTGGGGGTGCTGACCTGACCTTGACCTGAGGTCAACACCCCAAGTTGACCTGATCCGGACAAAAAGTATACCATTCGACGCGCCTGAGCGAGGCGAACACGATGCTGCCAAAATCGGCGCTCTACGGCCATTTTTTGCGAAGTTATTCACCAAAAACTGAACCGTACCTTGGGGCACTTGACCTGACCTCAGAGGTCACCGGTTGACCTAGGACCTTAAAATCGGATACCAATCTCTGCGTCTCGTAACGGCGCACACGCTCGTTTTTTCCGCGACGCGCTAGCTCCACCAGGGGCGAAACGGCGAGGGGGGTCGTACCCGCCCCCCCCCCCTCGGCCGGCGCGTATGTAGAAAACCAATAGGTCCGGCGAGGGTTAACGGTATTGAAGGGAAGGTAGCCAAATATATTTACTGAAAGCTGTTGTTCTTGCTGTTCTGAACCCGAGTTCTTATATGTATATCAATCCGCAATCACTGACGTCTCGTTCTCTCTCCGCAGGAAACGTCCCAAGGACGACGAGGTAGTCGAGATGAGCATCCTCAAGGCGCCCTACTACTTTGCCGCATTCGTCGGCGACCGCTTCGGCTCCGACATGTGCAGCAAGTTCTTCCCCGACTGCACACACCAGTTCGGAGAGATGCTCAGCTTCGTCAACAAGTTTGACATCACGCCTGCCGGCAGTAGCGCGTAGGAGGGAGAGATGAGAGACAGACATAGTTCACAGACGAGCTCTGTTCAGTGCGTGGCGACGAAGTCAGTGGTGGGCCGACAGAAACAAATCAGTGTTTCATTGTTACCTTATCGAGTGATGGCTTATGGAAAAAGGAGACTGCATTTTGTTTTAGGAAGGTCATTAAAATGCATAAATATCCTTCAAAGAAATGTTGCAAAGAAATATTTGTCAGTTGAATACATTTCAGACAGGTGCGAACTATCAAGAAAGACCAATAATAGATCGATTTAGTATTTGCGACGATGTGTTGTAAACCATATGAAAAGTATCGATCGTCTTGCCCACGCTTTGTCATTTGACAAATATCGTACCAGTGAATGCTGCTCGGGTAAACTATGGAAACACTGCACCGTCGTGTCAGAAGCCGGCAGTGCCTTGATTGGACGGATGCAGATACCAATTATCAGCTCATAGCAGACGCCAATGTTTATTGTAAGTGTTCCATATTGATGTGGTGTGTCATTCGCTCATAAATATATCTGCTCTATGCAATAGCATGCCGTTTGACGTAACCATGCAGAGTTACGAGTATTACAAAGCATAGAAGTTTGTCGCTGCTTACCGCGACTACGTACCACAAGAGGACATGCAGCGGTCTAATGAGACCACCTATTCGGTTTGAATGGGAACGGCCAACAGCAATTCCAAGCAGACTAATCCTCGCTTTCTCGCTGTAGGACCTGAGAAGGACTTTAGGCGGAGCCGAATAGCTTCCATTCCATCGGGTCTATTTCTAATTGACTATCCGGCGGGCGCGGTCGCTTTCTCGGTATTTCGGGCCGCCGCTCGGCCGTCCGCACTGACACCGGTCCGTCGGGTCTCGGAGAAAACTCCCCGAGCCGACCGGTTTTCGAGGTCCGATCGGGAAGCATCTCACAGCCGTCAGTCGGGACCGCAACGCAGCATCTCGCTTATTTACTTGTTTTTGATAAAAAATAAATATGGGATAGCGTAGCACACAACTATTGCCACCAAGAGGTGAGCTCACATGCCATTTTGCAGACATCAGCAGCTTCAATCTCTCAGACAGACCCACACCCTATTTTGACTGCCACAAGTAAGTTTGGATGGGCAGAACTGGAGAGCTCTGCGATTGGGCAAACTGGTGTTAGTGACCTGTGCGGCGTTGTGGTTCTCGGCTTCCAGCGTAGTAGGGGCTGATACTGTGCCGCATCACACGGTGACTTCAATGCTACACACAAGACACTAGCACCAAAGCAAATCTGTAGGAGTGCTGCCAACAGGTGTTCATGGATCACCCGCCGAACGATAAAATTTACATTCCGACGTAGCTCATATCTAACGTATGTACAAATGTAAACGTGCAAATGGTTATAAACTTTTAGCAATGTCTTATATAAGAAAGGTCGAACGGATAACAATTCAAGTGGAGAAGCATTAGCAACTGCTTACATATGTAGGGGAGAGTGGGGAAAGATGCCCAGGGTTTTACTATGTCATATATTATTCGAAAATGACGATCGGAAAGCAAAAACTTGTAGTTTCAACGGAAGCCGACATCATTTTTCTCCAAAAATATCACACTTTCGTACCTAAAATATGATAACTTTTTTTGCTATTAAGCATTTTTCTGAAGAAGTGAAAGGGGGCATCTTACCCCACAGGGTGGGAAAGACGCCCCCTGGCGTTGGGTAAGATGCCCCCTGCACTATAAGTGACATAAATGGGCACGTGAATCGCCTGAACGAATCAGTAGTCCCTTCGGGCCTGCAGTAGACACCAAACGTCATCGTAAGGGCCCTCAAAAGTAGTCGTAAGGGGCTTCAGAGGTCATTGTTAGGGCCATCATAGTCCAGCGCGGCCAAACAAGCCTCCGTGGTGGCGTTCGGAGACTACTGTGGGGCCCTTATAGGTCTTCATGATGCTTGAGGGCCCTCGAGCCCATCGTGGGGACCTCAGATGCCAGCGCGGCCCGTGGAGCCAACGTGGGAGCCCTCAAAGGATGTCGTGAGGGGCCCTGGAGCCAATAATGTAGCCCACAGAGGCCGTCGTAAGGGCTCTCAGAGTCAGATGCCGCCCAAAAAGTCGCTGTGTGGGCCGAGAGACCGGCATGGGGAACACCCGACCGTAATGCACTCTCAATAGTCCCAGATCGGCTTTTGTCTCTCATCACAGGTATGTAATAAATGATTTGACGGGCTGCTTGAAGGACAGCCTACGGATTTAGGGGGGCGTCTTTCCCCATCAGGACAGGGGGCATCTTACCCCAAGGTACCGAGGTAACATTAACCCGCGCCCTGGTGAGGTCTGTTTATAACGCGACCTGGTGGGGGGGGGGGCTATTTTTTGCCCCCCTCGTATCTCCGAAACTACTGGACGGATCCGCAAAATTCAAACGGCGTTCGAAAGGCCTGTCAAATTTGTCGACAGAAACCAAATTTCATTGACCTCGGGGTCACCGATGACGTCACAGGTCAGGTCAAAGATGAAATGTTTCACCGTTCACGGGGCTTCTAGGGAATGCGCTATAACACCGAGGAAAACGCATTTTGTCGAGAATCAGCGATAGGGCGTCAGTTGCCTAGTAGATATGTTGCTATTAGAGGTCACTGACAATACCAGGTCACGTCACAGGTCAGGTCACCAAGGGTCACAGGTCAGGTCACATGAGCCCAACTTTACTAAGGTTGTGTAATGCATGTTTTATGGCCAATTTTTCATTTCCAACTCAATGGTGTTGGTTATAAGACTATCAGGTACGGCTTAGGTCACTTTCTGGTGAAGTTCAGGTCAAGGTCAGGTCAAGGTCAGGCCAAAAAAGGTCAAATTTTAAAGTTGATAGTTTTGCATAAAATGGGTATTGATTCGATGCAGCTCGTCACGGGGAGTCTAATGGTGGTCTTTGTTTTGCGCTACGGGGTCTAGAATTGCTAAAAATTGAGTTTGAAAATTTGACGTCATCAATTTTGAACAGTGTTTTCGCTATAACTTCGCCAAAAAAAGAGGTATCAATCTCAAATTTGGTATGTGGATGGAAGGCGGGACGGACTATCACATATATTCCGGTTTTTGCGAAATTCAAAAAACTTTTTGGATTTTTTTATCATTATATCCAAAAAAATTATTTTTTGATTTTTGGGGGTCAAAATCCAAAAATTTCAAAAATCCGAGATAGCAGTTTTGTAGCCCTGTCAATTCTACAGCTTTTATGTCTTTATCATTTTTCTGTATTTGCAAAGCTATAGGCCTGACAGCTCTTCCCGCGAAACTCTTTTTTGGGTCGAAAACGGCAGAACATGACGTCACTCTGACGTCATTTCCGGCCAACCTATCATAGCCTTTGGAAAAAATTTTTGGTCACCATGTGTAAAATTGATGTCCGGGAGGGTACTGAAAGTTTGGTGACGATCGGCGTAGCGGTTCTGGAGATATATCGAAAAGTCTGGAGGGGGGCAAAAAATAGCCCCCGCCCCCCCCCCCCCACCAGGTCGCGGGTTAAATTAGTACAATTTGTTAGCCATAAAACTACACCCTGAAACAAACTGTTTGGGACACAGTACACGCATGCTAATTTATCACTTCTATAGCAAGGGACGCAAAAATTATCTACCTTCTTTGATATTTACAATGTTTTGACACCAAAATATTTTTTGAAAGCAGCAAATAAAAAACATGCAATCACCAGCCAGCCGTTGCCCAACTGAGCCTCGCAAATTTTTGTGCAGTTAACAAAGCAGGCTTCCGCTTTACGCTAAGAACATTAATTTCCAGGTTCGATTCTTTGTTTCGCCGCTAGAGGGGGTGGGGCGTCTTTCCCACCCTGGGCATCTTACCCCACTCTCCCCTATATCTTGCTAGCAGCACGAATTTACCTACCTCATTCTTATTCAAAGCATAAATCGACTTAAAAAATTACAATCACAAGCATACACGTACGTTGTTTCACAGAGAGAATGTTTAAGCTGACCTATGCTCTAATCTCCTCAGGGGTCTCTAATCTCCTCAGTCCTCAGATGAAAGTATTTTGTTTCATAGCACACAGCACGCATTCGTAATCATAATTCGTTAGAATATAGGTAATCAATCAAACGAATGGGAAGCAACTGCTGAACGGTCAGTAGGCGACCGATCCTGTGATCCCTGTTCAGATACATGCAGCGCCATCTGCAACCACTGCTGCTGCTCTGTCTGGCCGTAAGAGGTCGCCCTAGTCCAGGTGATTCTCACGATATATCACTGGTTTGTGGTTATGTGCACGCAGAAAGGCTGGCTTACACAAAACTGCAAACATGACTTATTTATATCAATTACGGATCATGAGACGAGGTGATGAGTGGCAGATATTGAGGCGATTTGACCACCAAATATGCTGCAGGCTCTTGGGACGTGAGCGTCCCGGTGAGAATACCGTCACCGTGAGAATACCTACCTAGGTCAAACTACTTCGGACTCGGTAGGGGACTCCTGGATATTCCCTCATACCTACCAGATGTCTAGCGTGGTCGGCTTCAGTCTCAGCTCGAAACAGAGCACTGTAATCAAGGATGAAGTAAGTTGATTCTGAGGTTTACAAAATGGTTTGGCTCTGGCTGATCGACTCAGTTCAGTAACTGACGGTCTGGTGCGGCGTCCGATGTGAGCGACACCTAGGCTCACCTGAACTTTGACCGCGACGTCACCTGTCGGCGAAGGCCGACGGACCATTGCCAAGGTCTGAAGTTGGTAGGTATAGATCAGATAATTTTTGAAAACACGCATTGGTTATATGTTGTAGCCCCAGCAGCTCAAGTTCACAGTACCTGTAAACAGATGCATGTAGAATGGGGAAAACGTTACCTCTGATAACACTTCTTAGGTACCTCATAAAAACAGACAATTAGGCATTAACTTCATTTTTTGGCGCGCCTAAAACTCCCTGATCCGGGCTGGATTGTCACCTTCATCCTACACGAGCATCATGCAAATATATCACCGTTCCGTGCTTCTAGCCTCAGGATACTGAAATCCTTCTCCTCCACGCCGCAACCCCCCTCCGGGCTGGACAGGCAACTTTATCTCATGCGGGCTGCTCCCTTGGAGCGGCACCGCTGCTCTCGAGGGAGCGCACCCCGTAGCCGGGTGCAGTGAGTGCCTTGGGGCTGGGTGGCCTGTCTTCGGACGGGCTCAGCCCCGGCGACTCACTAGGGTGCCTGCCCAGATCAATGTCTCCCCCTATATCCTATCATCCTCCCGGCTCTGAAATGGTGTCATTGGACCGAAAGGGCCTAACCCAACAAAACAAAAAATGCAAATATATAGCTTCTCGGGAACAGGCCCATCGAGCGGTGGGGTGGCCGTTTGCGGGGCTGGTTGGCCTTTCCACTGTGAGGGGCTCAGTCCCGGTGGAAAACCAGCGTGGCCTGCCAGAGTCAGACCAATGTCTTCCCCTAATTCCCTGTCGTTCTTCAAGCGCCGAGGCCGGGCGGGTCCCGCTCCCTCGCCCTATAGGTTTGTTTTCGCACTATTCCGAACACGCCTTTGATAGAGAGCTGAA